GTGAAACCCACAAAGATGCTGCTCGTGAACTCTTTGAGAGCTTGGAATTACTTCTCTATGAAAACCTTTCATCAAGGTAAAATGTGAATTGACTGCTTCGCACAACATCAGAGATTCATTTTAAGATGCCACTCTTTACTGATTTTTTATGTTTTCCTTCTGCTCATAAGCCGTGTGCGTCTGCGTGAATCAGCTCTTGGGTCTGATTCCGCAAAATCCAGAAAATCATCACAATCAAGGCTATTATGTTTTGTTGTGACTGCCATTGCAAAGCTTGCCACATATCACCGGGAACTGTTGCCCAGGGCCCGTGTTTCCTTAACAAAGGTTAGTGTAAGCTATCACCTTCCAGAGAAAAATAGGCTTCCATGGCAGCAGTTTGATCATGGTGGTAAAATGCCTCCGAGATTTTGGGTTATTAAGCTTAATAATTTGGTCAATCTGGTTGACAGGTTGCACGTTCACGAATCTCAGATGCAAGGGTCTGGAAGCGTGCACGTGATTATTTGGGTTTGATGAATGAACCTGCTATATGTTTGTCTATCTTGGGCCCATGTGAATCTCCAAGTAAAGGGATGCAGAAACTTGGCACAGTGAACTGGAGTGAAGGGGGAACTAAAATGATTTCGCACCTTCCATTTTACCTTTTAGGTGCACAAGAAGGTAAACTGTGCACAACTTTTTCTGTTTCTTCATTTTTTTGGATGACCGAGAAATCCATCTGGAGCCAACTCTTTGGACCAACATCATCCTTTGAAACTCAGGGATGATGTTTAAGTTCCTCAACCTTTGCCAATTGAGCTATCTTAATGTTATCTAAATTTGATCTTTCATAAAAGAAAACTTGAATCGTTACTAATGATATATAAAACATGATACGCAGGTCCGCCCCATGATTTCTCATTTATGGATGTTCTTCCTGGAAGTTAGTTTATTTGTGATTCATGATACATGTGTTTTGAGCAAAGAAGATTCAATAATCTCGGAGGTGCTGTTCAAAGATATGGAGTTTCTTCTCCTTGTTGATTCAATCCATGTAGCTTATGAGAGATTTGAAGTGATTTATTTAGTTTTCCCGAAGTACCCCCAAAAAAAAAAAATTAGTTCATCAGAGGGATGTTTTGCTTAATGCTGGAATATTAGAATAGGAAAATGTACATAAACTCTATTTTTTGCCGTGTATGATTTTGGTTTTTAAATGACTTCTTACTTTAATAGGTATACTGGCTTTACTAATTGCCTTAACATCAATGCAATATTTTTTTCTTTTCTGGGTACAGAGATTATCATTCTATCTTTATGTGAAGGTGTTTGGTTGGACACGGAGTTTAAGAAAGAAAAAGATAACTTTGAGTCTTGTGGTCTAAAACAACTTCTAAATAGAGAAAAGGCAGAACATTGGGTCATGTGAGACATTTATGTATGAAGTTGGTACATTACTTTTGCAGTTCAAAACTTTTATACACTTGGGTTTGAAATTAGACTCGACAGTCCCAAACTTCAGACCTGAATGTTTGAAGTTGACATTAGTTCAAACATTCAGGTCTGAAGTAGGCATAACTCCATCATTCCGAGTCTTCACGAGTGGAGATGATCTCATTTTTCAACAACATTACCCAATGTAATCCCACAAGTGAGGTTTGGTGCAGACCTTACCCTTACATTGGGAGGTAGAGAGGTTGTTTTTTATAAGACTCTTGGATCATCATTCCGAGTCTTCACGAGTGAAGATGATCCCATTTTTCAACAACATACCCAATGTAATCCCACAAGTGAGGTCTGGTGAGGATAGTCTGTACACAGACCTTACCCCTACCTTGGGAGAGGTAGAGAGGTTGTTTCTGATAGACCCTCGGGTCAGATGATCCAATTTTTTCATTGAACCAAAAACAATTGTTCTTGCCACTAAACAGAAATCATAGAGTTGATATGAGGAGCAGCAACAAAGCATGCCAACAACTTCAATAACACAAGTAAAATCGCGCCAAAATTGAACTTTCTCTATTCTCTACTAACAAAACAATGTCTCAAAATGCAGAGTTGAACATCAACGAAGCCTTGATAAGGGAAACTGTTTCCGACACGAGTCTGTTTGCTGTAGACACTGAGTGTGGGGGAAGATATTCCGGGGTCGATATCTCTTCATCCATCAACTGAAATGCCATTGTTAGAATACTTCCTTCAGAAGTACAAGGTAGGACAGCAAATCCTGAAGCCAACATGTCTACACTATCAGAGTCTTTGCCTTTCATAATGTATTGCACAGCTGAAGCATCAACTGGTGCAAAAATTATGTACATTCCTGTTGAATCTGTAAAGCTCTCTTGTAGGTAAAACATCTCTGACTTGTTTGTTCTTCCATTGGGAGGCTATATTGATCAAGAAAACTATTAGAAACTTTGCTTTATTCCTCATAGAATTTGTAAACAAAAAAAATGTTAGGTGATTTCTTCCTGTTTGATTTAGTCTTCTTGATAGGTAAAAGTTATTCGGTAGTTGTACTGGTTGGAAGTAGCAGGTACCTCGTGAGGCAAGATCTTCACCAAGGGGGCTCATAAAAACTTTTGACTTTATATATACAGTGTGATTTTCTGCCAAAGATGCCCGGATGAATCCCTTTTCGGCCCAGAGGAGGATCTACCTAAACCTTCTTGCCATGGTGGAGCTAAACGGGCGGAAGGGGGTTCATCATCAGAGAATCACATTGCATATATATGGTTAGATTTTGTTTATGTATACATAATAGATGATGAACCTCTTGGAAAAAATTCTGCTTCCGCTACTGCCTTATTGATAGGTAGAGAGTTATCTGGTACTTGTACTGATGGGAAGTAGCAGGTATCCGATGGAATAGTTGAGGTCGCTGCAAGCTGACCTAGACTAAACCATTGTACAAAAGAGAAAATAATTCTATATTCAAAACATACTACTCCCTCCGTTTCAATTTGTTTGTCTTACTTTCCTTTTTGTAACAACTCTTTAATTTTAACTTTCCACATGACATGTTTAAGACCACGAGATTAGAATACATTTTGAAACATTATACATTTCTTTAATTTAAGACTACAAGATTCAACTTTACTTAAACTCCGTGACAAGTCAAAACCAGACAAACAGATTGAAACGGATGGGGTCTTACCTCCACTATGACTAGTGAAACAGAGTTAGCAGGGTCTCTTGCTGAGGGAATATGAAGTGCATCTCGAGTCATACATCCATAGGAGAGTAAATCCCACTACAAAAATATATGTTAAGAACACAGATAGCACAACATAGTATAAGTTGAGGTAAAACTCTGTTGAAGAGTACCTTCCATCGATTTCCTCCTGCACGAAGGAACTTAAAAACGTCGTTTTGTGGTATTGGTAGCCATACGGAAGTTGAAATCATTACTACAACACCACGAGGGGTTCCCGGAGCATCTAAATTCATGTTTGTTTTCACAAATATATCCTCACCACCATGTATACTTAAGGGCATCCACTGGTTTTCATTGCATGAGCTAAAGATAGTATTGTAACTTTTGATCGTTCGTTCTGCCAGCTTCATTAAATTCTTCTGTCCTTTCCCTACGTCTAAGAATATGGAAGATAACGCTATAAACACCATGAATCAGTACCAAATCAAGTTCTTTTTTTTTTTCTTCACGAAAAGGGAAAGGTCATTTACTATACGAAATATCTTAATTGTATCCTCTGTTACACTTTGAGGACATTCATACCCTTTGCTGTTAGCAAATCGTCTCGTAGTTACTCTTTACTTTACAGAGCTCCAGCATTGACAGAGTGGATTCTGTGTGCCAAAAATACTTCAGGAAAAGAACTCCACAAATCTTACCTCTATTATTCACTATGGTCTAAAAGTATCCTCCGAACTTCAGGTTAGAGGTTCGTTAGGATCAAGGGCAAATACGAGATGATCTGCTAACGATATATGTATGAATGGCTTCAAATTATAACAGAAGCACAAAATTAAGATACTTCATATAGTAAAGAGGTATTTTTGACCTTTTTTCCGAATGAAAATGACTAAGAAAAAAAGCAAACCAGCTTACTGTTGTCTTGCAAAGGCTGTCCCAATAGTTGATTTTGTTGTTTCTGCAGAACTGCATATCTGTCATAATGTCTCTCCATGGTCAGCATCCAGCGCTTCGCGCTGAATGCAACGCCTGATTTAAACGTCTGCCTGAACATCTCGGGAATCGAACCATCACATACTACATTATTCTCCACCCAAGTCACCTAAAATTTTCACATCAAAATCTTTATGATTATAATGCAATAATCAAATAGGAACTTAAAATTTTCATGATTAAGAAGTATTCAGTTTTACCAGTGATAGTCCACTTTGAAGTCCATGGATTAGGCATCCTGATGGTCTTCTTTTATACTGTACTAATGGATTAGGATAAACACTCTCTAAGGAGACATCAGTTACTAGCCAAGTGTTGAAATCTAGTTGTCGAGAGTACCTCGCGAAATAGACCTCCCGAGGCCTAACAAGTGGAGAAGGAAGATGAAATTGTGCTGACATCTGAAAAAGAAAAAACCATACAACAACCACTACACCTCAGTTCCAAACAAGTTAACGTCTGCTATATGAATCCTCAACTGATGACTATGTTTACTCATTTAAGCTCGAATCATATCATTCGTAAAAAATCAATCTCTTAATTTGCTTAGATGATTGAAATAACAAACATTGAGAATTTTGAAGTAAGAAGGATGCATTTGTGTGTGGTTGCTATAGGACGAATCTATGATTTAGAGTCTGTGAGTTCAGAATAAGTGTAATCATATTATATGTATACATAGTTCGAGCTGGAAGCAACGTGCTAGAGAGTACTACTACTACTACTACTACTATTACTACTACACATGATTCAGAATGGATTAGTAGCTCAACAAAGAGGGCAGCTCAGTGCACAAAACATCACTCGTTGCGGCCACCCCATAAAGGGTGGATTAGTAGCTCAGAAAAGATTAGACAAAGTGTTAATTTTAGATTACCACTTGTAAAGCTCCATTAAAATTTCCATCTCTTCCTGTCAATAGAAGTCCAAGATTTGTTGCTTTTGAAACAATGTTGGAGAACACATATGACCATTTGTCCTGTTTTCACACACAAAAAACACACATCATATTTTCAATTGATTGACAAAACTCAGAACAAAAAAAGTTGGTAATACTTCATTATCTGCTATGCTGCAGCACCGATGTCAGATCCTCCAAATATGCACTACTTTTGATGAGTCTGAACAACATAGAAGATTATTTGTAACTTACGACATCCATCAGCATATGCACGAGATTGATTGGATCCACAAGTACGATCCCAATAGCTCTAGACGCTTCAATAACAGAGGGGATCGATGAATTTCCCATCTCAATATCGACATTTCCATTAAAGTTTGGCATGTCAATAGGTCCTCCATTTGCAATGAATTTGATAATTTCCTCTAAAGTTGGATCAAGATGAGTGAATCGTCGTTTATATTCAACTTCATTGAGTACCTCAGTTTGCTTATTTGTGTCAAATAGCCATAATGGTTCTTGTTGTTGAGCCATTTGTCTTAGTTCTTCACTTGATGCTAAGGCAAGATCAACAATTTTGGTTTTGTATGTTTCAGCACAAACTGAAACTGATAAAAGTAGATCACTTGCTCTTGGCATATTTTCCCTTTCCAAAACTTGCATTGACTGAGAAAATCAAAGTTTATATATCAAAATTCACAACATGTACAAAAATTTCAAGCTATCGTCAACGCATAGATTATGAAGTTGAAACTTGAAAATTTGAGTTTTTGAAGTTGTGCGTGTGTGGAGTTTGGACATGCATTATACTTGAAGTTTTGTGAGTGGAAGTCCGAAAAACTGGCTCACAAAAACAGGTCGTTGAAGAAATCTGATCAAATTTCACGGCCAAACAAATATTTGAAGTTAAAAACTACTCTCAAAATCTATGGCGAAAGGTAGCTAAATCAATCATATGTTCTATTTTGCCTAAATACTCATGATATTGATGTTTACAGATAGATACTATTCATTATTTGCTAATAACCTATGTTGTTCGGACGCTTCAGAAATGTTGGCAAGCCAATGTTGGATCCTCAAAAAATGCGTAGCTTTCTGAAGGATCTGACACACACTAGACGATATTTTTGAAGAGTTGGAGTAACATAGACCAATACTAAAGTTAATTATTTTACAACTTATGGTCTGAACTTCAGTATTTGAAAGAAATAATGGTCAAAAACACACTTAAAGTATCACACTTTCACGAGTTTCCTTCTAGAACTATCAGGTGTTCACTTTTCCTACATGAACTATTGGATAGGAAACTCGTGAAAACATGATACTTCAGGTGTGTTTTTTTACCATTTCTCAATTTGAAATAGTGACAAAACTTGTTGCAATAATGGTTATCGCTTACAAAACAACTAACTTTTTATTTTTTTCAACTTCAACTAAATATTGTCCAAATGCATATCCATATATTAATAACATATACTTTATGATATAGTTTTGGTGAGTGTACCTCTAAATATCCATAGTGCTCCAACCCTGATTTGTCTTCAGGGAACATCTTGTAATTTGGGAAACCTGTTAAACAATCTTCGATCCTACCCGATGTAAATTTAAATTAGTCAAGTCAGTAAATTCCGAATACTAAAGGGCTTATAGCCTCCAACGAGCACATTTCCAATGAATTTCATGAGAAATACGCGTGTTTCTAGTAATGATAACGCGATAATAAAATGTAAATTAATAATGATTCAAACTATAATGAGGGAGGATTTTGATTAAATGCAGAATAATACAAATTTAAAGAAAAATTCAAAATGGAAATATTACTTGAAACTGAAAGAACTATGAAGATAAATTAAATTAAATTAATGAGAAGTAAATATGCAATGCATGCCTATGAATATACAATTGTGTAGTTTATAAAAAAAAAACAGTCTCGATACACAAAACATCTCGTGTTCATGTAGGGTTCGAGGAAGAGCCGCCATTCTAACTCACCCTAATACAACAAATGTGATGAAGACAACCTACCTATTGTAGAATATTAGTAATTGTTTCCACAACTCAAACTCGTTATTTATAGGTCACACATAGATAACTTTTCCGATGAAACAAAATTAATCAAAAAAATGAATCACACTGAATACGGCTGCTGTTACTATGTTCTTCTTCTCTTGCTCTAGTTTTTTTTTTTTAATTTTAATTTATTAAATTACATATGTAAACTATGATTAGAAAAGAGTTACGTTACTTAATAATTGGTATTTCTGTTAAAAGAAGGCCGGAATTTAAATTGATTAATTTGCATCCTATTCTATTTTTTTATTTTTTATTTTATTTTGCAAAATAATAAAATTATTTTTTTTCAAAAAATCACTATCTCTCACTCTTTTAAAGCTTTCAATAAAACCTTCTTAGCTGAGGAAGCAGCAACCGATCAATTGGAAAGTTCCTGCATAAGTTGTCGGATTATAAATAAAAAACTTTTCTGGGAACGCGTGGTTCAAGTCGAGTTTTCTTATTGTTCCTTCCAAGACATCCCTTCTAACTTTACTAATTGATTTTGTGTGATTGCTTCGTTTACCCTCCGCCACATAAATCCTCCCCTTGTATTTTATCTTTGTTCATTATATAATAATTCATCATTTGCCCGTCATTATATAACAATTAAAAACGATAGAATCTATCCAAACATTATATTAATCAAAATAATATATTATTCAAACCAGAAACTAAAATTACTTACTATTTAATTTTGGAATATTCTCTAATTTATACTGTTTGGTAGTACTAATTAAATCTCCTGCAATTTCTTCGTTAGCGAAGCTTTTGCTATCATTCTCAAGTTAGCTCTTTTTTAAAAAAATTATTTTTTTCCCTCTACATTCTTCTAAAATTATTTTATTAAAATGCCAACACTATTACTAATATAAGTTCAATTCATCGAGGACATGATCTTAAATAGGATATCAATATGAAAGTCGAGAATCAGGGTTAATAGTTAATAGGTAGTTGAGTATTTTCTCACTTCATACTGACAGAATCGAATTATATTCTAATCCGAAGTACCTATCTTTCTTCAATACTATCATCATAACATTTTACTTTTTCATTCCTTTTAAATCATGTCCAAAAAATGATTTCATTGAGTTGATGTGTTGTCGAAAAAAAACCTTTATTTGTGATAAAAATAGAGATAAAATACGTGTACATCCACTCTCTCTAAATTTTACTTATAAAAATACTGAATATGTTATTATTATTTAATAGTATGAAAATCCTACAGAAATATTAATTTAGGACAATAAAATTATTAGTTGAATTACGTAATAGAATTCAACAATCTCTAAATGTAATAAATTCGATCAAATTGTTTTTAAAAATGGAAGATAATTCAAGAGTCTTATATTATATTATAAATAAGAGGCCTTTTTCTGAACAACTAGAGAGACTTTGAGAAGCATGGATAATGCCATTTTCCTCATTTGTAAATGAGCTAAATATAGGTGTAGACAGTCGATCAGTTCAAATTGAATATGAAAATTTTGATTTGAATATATAATTTTAAGAATGAAGAAACTAAAATTAAAATTAAAATCCAATACGAATAAGTTTGGATTGAATCGGTTTTCTCAATTTCAATTTTGAATTAATTGGTTTATTTTCGTTTTTCAACTTTAAGACTATAAGTTGAATTTCTTCTTCTAAAAAAAACATCTTATAATAAAGTATTTATATCAAATTGCCTTGATAATTTCTCATTCCCACCGCAATATCATCCAAATAAAATGCCCATTCCTCAATAAAATTATTATCAAGATTTATTTTTTAAATCTAAACAAAGTAAAAATAATATCTAGATCGACCAAACTACTAATAGTTTATAGGGTACTGAATTTAGTATTAGATAAATAAGCTTATGTCTAATTGTACAAATAAATATAAGATATGAATTTTTAGGTATTCGAAAATTCAAAGTCTCCAATTTTTAGGTATTAACTGAGGTCTCTATTACTTTAACCATACCAATTATTTCAAGAAAAAAAAAAGTCTTAATAGAGGATTTTATGTGAAGAGCAATGGTTTGGAATTAATCAATATTCCTTAATTAGATAATGATTGAAACTTTGATAACTCCATTTTCCTAACTATTCTTAACATTTGAATCTTCTTATAAATATACATACAATTATTTTTAACCAAATATTTTTTATTTGAGTTTTAAATATGAAAAAATTCTATTAAAATTTTACGTGACGCTAGTTCAAATGAGTTGAAACTTCAAAATGAATACAGAACACAAATAAATGATTCATGTACATAGTATTCAACCTTAATTCTAGCACCATATTGAGTTCGAAACCAAATTTTATTTATGAGAAGTTAAATTTTTCAAATTAAAAAACAAATAATAAAAATGTGTTGTCTAAACACGAGAATAGAGGAGTCACTCACATTTTAGGCACAACATGGAGTGGGTATGCATCCCTTTCTCATGTGTCTCTTATTTTAAATGGTTATTTTATTTTATTTATTTATTTATTTGAGTAATAATATTTGGAAACATAATAATTATATGAGTAATATAATAAAATAAATTGGGGATGGGATCATGATGGATTGGTTGTAAGATTGAGGAGAGTCATCCTCCGTCCCAAATTATTTATCGTATTTTTTATACGTTCCTTAAGAAAATATTAATTAATAGATATTTTTTTTAACTATTTTATCTTTATTTGTGTCTTAAGATATACTTCTTCCGTCCAAAATAAGTGTCGATTTAGCTTATTTACACTCATTTAAAAAATAATAAATACAAATTATAGTTTAGTAAGCTACCCCTATTTGTAAGATATTTCTAGAGAATGTCTATTGTTCAAAGTTGACGGGAGAGTTTGATTTTTAAATTAAAGTTGGGGTGGAAAATGATTTTGACTTGTTATATTTAACATAAGAGTAGAGTTGGAAAATTACAATTACTGTTTTTTAATCTTGAATTTCTAAAGCGATATTTATTTTGGGACGGAGAAAGTAATTTCTTTTCATTGAATATTTACTCTGTTTATGTGACATCTTTCCATAGTTGAGATATAATCTTCAAAACAATTACTGCCGATGGTAAAATGAAAATAAATAATTAATATTATCTTGGATTTTTATAATAACAAATATTTTTTAAAATTACAATAAATAATTTTGAGATAGAAAAAATATATCCTACAAAAATGGAAAATTTTGGAAGGTCTTTATCAAGACTACTTTAATTTTGCATTTTGCATTTTTTTGTTCATAATTAAAATTTAAATGTATAAAGACATGGGAAACATGATGAAGATGTTTGCACACAAAAATTCTAAAATGGAAAGTGATAAATACTTGACCTTATAATTTCAATGTGTAATTTTTGTCCTACAATAATGTGAGTACTCGTATGATTGAGACAATATGAATTGATTGAACCTTTGTGTGGATAGCTTTAAGTATGAATGATGTCTTCAATTTTTTTTTTTATATATACGCAATCACTATCATCGATCACCATTGATGCGTATAATTATTATTATCATACAATTAACATCTATCGGCCTATTTTGTCAGTTCCTTTATAAGTCATCAACTTACAAAATTAAATATCACCACTGACGATAAATATACCTTTGTCCCAATTGATTGTGATTTCTCTCTTGCAAAATACTCGATATTTATATTGGAGCCGCGATTAATTTAAAATCATGCCACATAAGACCCATTTACAGAAGAAAAACGCTTTTTGTCAAGATTTTTTTACATCCAAAACTCGAACTTGAAATCTATAATTAAAGATACGTAGCTAGAGAGATTTTATCAGTCTCACCACAACTCTTGACGGAGCAAAAGTGCAATTAGGTCCAAATATACTCCTCATCCTTTTTATTTGCCCTTAAGGTTTTAGGACACTAATTTTAAAAAACCTTAAATAAATTTAGTTAATTAGATGTATTTGATTAAATTATCCTTATATTAATTTATTCCTAAACGAGTAATTAATGATTATATACCTTTTAGGAGGTAGTGAAAATTAATCTCTTCTTAATTTTCTAAAATGATAAATATTTTAAGCTAAAATGCCAAATAAAAAGGACAAGAGAGAGTATTAATTAAAGAAAAGATAATGACATGTTTGTAAAACAAATGACAATAATTAGAATGGAACTTTTTGTTCATACGTCATCTCACTTACTAAACTAATTAATTAATGGTGATTATAAATTTAATTTGTCATAAGCTTCTTCAATATATATTTAATTAGAAAAACAAATTGTTATGTCAAGCAGTATTATACACTTGTCTCTTGTAGAAGTCAAGAATATAATTCACATCCAATTATAAGGTCTCATGAGTTGACAATCACTAACTATATAACAAATCATTAATTTTGTGTTGATAATTATCACTCATAAATATTAAAAAAATTCATTAAAAAAATTATTTAACCCAAACACATCTAAACGGCATTGAGGATGAGTCAACTGATCGACAAACAACTTTTATGAATTGGAATTAGTATTCATTATGAATTGAAATTTCGAGACTAAATTCGAATTCACATCAAATGGTAAAGCTTCGATCCCAAGCAAAGGCGATTTCATAACCAAGATGATTCGAATTCGAGACCTTTGATTAATGATGAAAGACTACTTACCACTCCATCTCAGTCCTTATTGATTTTCCGTTCTATTTTATGTGAAGGTAATACTATTTGTGACAATAATTTATTTACTATGATTTCTCCAAAATTTTGAAAATATTTTGAATTATTAACATAGAACATAAAGTGCTTTTAACTCTCATATTTTGAATTCTTTTAATTTCACATAAATTAAAATGGAGATAGTAAAAACTGCAATGAATTTCTAAGAAGTTAGTATAAACTAAAAAGTCCAAGTCATTTAATGACTCAGTTAATGACCATTTCAATATATTAAATTGAGATTAGCAAATAACAGCATAGAAAATAAGATTTGGCAAATCTTTGTTTCCACTAATCTAATCCTAAAATCATAAAAGGTCAAATCTATTTTTTCTATTGCATCTTCTAAACTTCAACTCTCCTATGGCCCACAATCAAGATTCCATACCCCCACCCCCACGCCACCTCACCCCACCCAAGCCTGCAAGTATTTTAAATTCATTGAGAAATAAACAAAAATATTTAATATTTCATATCTAGAGTAGGTTTAAAATAGTCTATTAATTAAATATGTTATCGATCAGTTTATTAATTTGTTAAAAGTAAGCACTTTAATCTTCGTTAAATATTTACAAAATCTAGTCCTTAGATTAATGAAAAACTATGAATGAACTTTTCTTTTTAATCCGAAACACTAGGAAAGTCTCAACAATTCCAAGAGAATTGTAACAGACGGAAATTAAAGATAGATAAAAAAAAAAGATAAAACACCTTAAAAGAAATTGCAACAAATACCAAAAATTAATAAATCAAAATCAGCAAAAAAAATGCACTCAACACCTCATGTAGAAAAAATAATAATAACATAATTGCATCAGACGTCAAATATCAATAGAAAAAAAATAACAGAAACAACACCTCCAAATATGAGTTTCCATTAAATCTAAGAACCATACTTCGTTAAGTATTAGATAACCGAATAATAGTTGTACCTGTATAAAATTCTTATGTTTCTCAATATGGTCTCTATCATCATCTCTATTCTTCTTATCAGTTCTCTTTATCTTATTAAAAAAATACACACTTTTGAAAAACTTAGGACTAAAATTGTTCAAAAGTAAATTTAAGGAACTATTTTGAATTTATCCTAAACATAAGGGACCATTTGTGTTATTTTCTCTTGCATTCTTTTATCTATAATCAATTTCTCCACTATATAATTCCAACATTTCTCTAATGAGAGTGACCAAAAACCTAAACTTATATATATTTTTAAAAATAGTTCTTCTTCTTCCTCTTATGCAAATGGATAATTCTTCCACATGTAATAGTTTTTCTAATTATAGTGCAAAAAATTCAGATTATGATTCCCAAGAAGAAAGTAGTTGGACATTTTATTTTCAAGATTTTATGTCAAACAATAATAATTCTAATGAACAAAATTCTTTGTGTTCTAATGAATTACACATCAATAAAAATGGTGGTTTAGCTATTAATGAAAATAGTATTAATAATAATAATAAATCTGTTTTTAAGAAGAGAAAGATGAAAGGAGTAGCAAGAGAAGTTGATGATGATCTTGAAGATACAGCAAGTTCACCTGTCAATAGCCCCAAGGTTAGTCAAGCATACTTTTCTTTTAGTTTCCGACCGATGTTCGGTATCTGTTTTGGGGTTTGACTAATTTGAATTCACCTTGAGAGGTCCTACTACTTTCTCTTCATTCTAAGGGTTCAAACTCGAAAACTCTAATTAAGGATGGATGAATATTACTTATCATGACTTTTGGTGGTGACTTTAGTTCCTTTAGGTTTTCTATAAGTCGTGTTTGATGTCAGTTTTGAGATTTGACTAATTTGGATTCATGTTAAACGGTCCTACTTTCTCTTAATTCTAAGGGGTTCAAACTCGAGTACTCTGATTAAGGATGGATGAGTACTTATCATGACTTCACCATGACTTTTGGTGGTGACTTTAGTTTCTTTAGGTTTCCTATCAGTCGTATTCGATGTTTGTTCTGAGGTTTGACTAATTTGGTTTCGTGCCAAGAAGTCCTACTTTAGCTTCATTTTGAGGATTCGAATACCTTTAGTTAAGAATGAATGATTACTTACAATTTCATGACCTTTGGTGGTGACTATTTAGTTTCCTATTGGCTAGTGTTCGATATCTCCAAATGGTTTGGCTTTACGTCGGGAAATTCAACTTTGACTCGATTTTCATGACTCAAATCCAAAGCCTTTACTGACGGATGAAGGAATACTTACCACCTTTTGATGATGACTTTGTCAATATAACTAGCTTGCTAGTAATTAATTTTATTAATTTTCATTTACCTTTTATTTAGGGGTTTTATTCATCTCTCTTTTTTTCTTTTCCCTATTGCTTTTAATTTGCAGGTGTCTTATATGAATGAGTTGTGCTTTAAAAGTCAGAAGGGGAAAAGTTCTGCAAGTATTTTTGAGGTAAGAGCTCATCGTGTTTGGTACGATGAAAGTCATTATTCATCGAATTTTTTTTTTTGTAAAATAAAGAAAAAGAACCAGCATTATTACAATTATTTTTGTTTTCTAATCGATGTCCGGTATCCGTAATAGATATTCCAACTAATCCAGATTCATAAAAGCGCTTTCTACCACAATTTTTAATATCCAGAGCTCAAACTTCAGACTTTTAATTAAGGATAGAGAGATCATATCCATTCCATCACAACCAGTATATTAAGATATGGATTAAGATTTCATCATATTTAACTTTACATCGCGCTATTATTACTATTCAGAGAGTCAATAAGATTTTTTAGTGAATGCAATTTCTTCAAATACATTTGAATTGATAACTAGTGTGACATAGCATTTTTATGTAGTTTTTTACATTTCATCCAAAAAAAACACTTAAAGATTCTATATATATGGTTAAAGTTATATCGATAATTAAGTAGTTTGACCTTCGTACTCTTAATCCCGCTATAAGAAAATTCTTTTGGAATTTGTTTTCAACAGGGAAAAGGAAATAGTATTTCTGGCCAGCAAATGATGACTAGTGGATTGAATAATTCTACAAAGGAAAATGACTCTACACAATTGAAGAAACAAGGATTATGCTTAGTACCTATCTCTATGTTCACAAAGTGATGCATGGATAATTAAATTTGCTACTCCTACATAAAATGTATATATATTTCTCTATTTTTTTCGTTTTCACTCGATATTTGGTATCAATTTAGAGGTCTGACAACATTCGATTTTGCATTGAGAAGTCTTGTGTTAAGGGATAAAATGTCCTCTAACAAAGACGACTTTATTCTCATGGCTCGTATCGAGGACATGCATAAACTTACGTACCATATATATCACTCTCTTTAATTGCAATTGTTCTAAAATATCTATTATTTTAGAAAACCAAGACATATTTATTATCTTTCTTTTAAAATTCATTAATTAAGTTATTCGATTAAGAAAGAGAGATAATTGTTATATTTATATATATATACTCTTACAAATTAAAACTATATTAAATGTCTTTTTTAAAAGGTGCGTAAAAATCGGAAAAAATCCTAAGAAATATCCGTTGGAAATATGTTTTTTTCATAGGAAAAACTTCTGACGAGCCAATTTTTGATGGACCTTCGAAAATTATTAAAGTATATATTTGTTGATAACTTAAGGAACTACTGGATAATTCAGCTGTTCCTCATAAGAAAAAAAAGTTCTTATTTATAATAAATATATGTTTAATTAATTATAACAAATTAGTCTTGTTTGGAGATATCATTAATTAGTTCTTTAAAACATTGAAAATTATAGATGTGATGAAAGAATAAATTAATTAATTTGACTTTTAATATTAAAGGGCAGAGTTGACATTTTCCTAAGATTTTGTTAATTACAAGGAAAATCAGAAATTATGGATAAATATTAGCAGCTGACCTCCAAAGTCTACAATGATCCATTCCGTATAAATTATATTGATCATAAATAATTAATATAAACAATTATATTAATGTTTGTCCAAAAAACTATCACAAATAATTAATTTGTTTTCACAAAGTCATCTTGTTTTAGGTGGAACATAGCATTCTAAAGCAAAAATACCTAAACTACCCCTTTATTTGTAAAAATAACTATATATATATAAAAGAGAAAATAATATAGATATTCTAGGTCCAAGAAAAATTTAATGGATCGAACACTTTCCTTTCTCATATTATTAAACTCGGGTGGAAGAGAATCAATTCTCTTGAGAATAAAGAGGACGAATAGAATCTAATTTATGTTCATGTTAACATTAGAACAGTCCTTTTCTCCTTGAGTTGGATGAATCGAGAATTTTGGACCTTCACAAATAATATCTACATATATGTGTGTGTGTTGGCGGAGGGGGGGGGGGGTTCCTGAACGAGTCTATCACGTGTAGGTTAAGCATATGTCACAAGTTCAAACTCACCATAAATAAAAACTTGGTATTCAAGAGGAAATATATATGAAGGTAGATGATTATTCATAAAATTTCAAAGCATACGAAATGAGAAATTATAAAAAAACAAAAAAAATATAAAAGGACTTCCAAGTTTTCACTTTAATAACTATTTCTACAATCGGCAGATTCAGTCATCTAGTTTTGATATGTGATAAAATAGTTGTATCAAGAAAATTTTAATTTATTTGAATCAAGGTCTATCAAAAATAATCTCTCTATCTTTTCATGACATTATCTATCCTTCTCTTTTCATCCTAAGAAAGCTATGGTAAGGACAAAGACGGACCTACCCTGAGGGTAGTAACGTCATTAGCATCTGATAATCTTAGAAAAAATGCATGCAATATGTGTATGCATCTTAAATAATCATTTGATTCATTTTTAATTGTCATGTTGTGCTTTTCAAAAATCAATTTGACTAATTTTTAAAGTGAAATTAGATTACATTAATTCGATATTTTAAACAAAAAAAATAGATATTCAAAAACTATACGAAAAGTACTATAAATTGCAATTTCTTGTATATCAATATGATGAAAAAATACTTCGTAAAATATTAGTCAAAGTACTTATCATTTGACTCTAAAAAAGGAAATCATGACAATTAAAAGTGGACGGGGTAATATTAAATAAAAAGTATGATAATATAGTTGATGATGTTTATCTTTTAAAAAGTAAAGTCAAGTCTATGCAAAGTGAATTAAGTGCAAGCATAGGCGGATTCAGGATTTAAAGGTTGTGGGTATCATATCGCCTTTAAATAGACGTGTTCATTAAATCGATCAAATATTTAATTTATTTTACCCTTATATATAGCAACTTGGGACTTTTGTTTGGTTATTCATCTTTTTAGTTTATAAAGACAAGTGAATTGAAAAAATAAATAAATTATGTAACAACTTAGCGCCAAAAAAAAATTCTAATAATATCCTTAATAATTGCACTTGGTGAATTTTCATATTTTAAATACACTCAATAATTACATAGTTACTTAGTATATTTATTAATAGTTCACGCTCTAGGTAACAAACTTAAATAAAGTGGTTGAAAATTTTTCACATGCATAATTTAAGTAAAGCCTAATCCATCGGTGACCTCTTAAAGTTGGTATGAAGTTTCAGTTAGATACCTTAACTAGACGATGTTCATCTTAGACACCTCATGTAGGGTACCGCTGTGTCATTTTGACACTCTTTTTTCGATCAATAAAAATATGTGAGGTGTGTGTGTTACACTAGCGAACGACATGTAAAGTGACTAATTAAGCGATGACATTTGTCATTTGTATCAAAAACAACTCTTAAACAATAAATTTTAAGTAAAAATAAAAAGCAATCAATCAATCAATGACATTTGAATTTTTGCCCAAATAATTCTTTTAAGAAAATTAAGCCAATAAATTCCCCCAGAACCCCACTCACCCCAGTGTCTGAGACGATTTTCTTCTCCAATTACTTGCAAAAACATCTTAGAAACACGCCCACCTGTACACTACTCCTTTATTAGTGTCTTCTTCAAATGTCTTTTTTTTTTCTTCCTGTTTTTGCCTTAATCACCAGATTAAAAAAAAAAATTTAAATTTACTCCAATGTAAATATTAAATTCTTTCGGGAAAGAATCTCATGAATTAATTTACTAAGTAAATTTTGAAATGGGTCTATTTCTAAATTTCTAAAACAATCTCCAAATTTTTTATCAGTTTACGGTGATTGGATGTTTAAGTTTCAGAAATGATGGCTGAAAATGAGAGTTAATATCTCGTATGATCATTCAACTATGCACTATTTTCTCAGAAAGTCACTCAACTTTGGTTTTTAACTTCAAAGTCACTCAATTATGAGTTTTTTTCTCAGAAAGTCACTCAAACTATGAATTCTTTTCTTAGAAAGTCACTCAACTTTGATTTTTAACTCAAAAGTCACTTAACTATGAGTGTTTCACTTACAAAGTCATTCAATCTATTTAATTGATTTTTTTCATTAAAACTTACATGAAATTTTTATTTCTAACTAAAATTATAAAAAAACAAAAAGATATTCATTTAAACCATTTAATAACCCGATCCGTTAGAAATATATTATTTCAATGATTTAATTATTTTTTTCAACTGAATTTACTAACATGAATTTTTTATTTCTAACCAATTTTTTTAAAAAATAAAAGGATATTCATTTAAGCCAATTAATTAATTTAACTATAGCACTCTAAAATCAACATGTAAAGACCATTTACAAAAATAAAAATAAAAATGTAAAGACCAAATCTTAATTAACTTAACGGTAGGAGAAACATTAGTAACAAATTCAAGTCAGTTTTTTTTAATCACTTCTTTTTGTTCCTTCATTATGTATCATTGTTACTAAAATTTTGAATTTACTAAAAAAGTAATTTTGTAATTTCTATATTTTATAAACAATGCATGGAATCGCTATATACACACACAATTGGAGAAAAGGGGTAAAATAAAAGGTAATATATTATATTTTTAGCGGATCAAGTTATTAAATGATTTAAATTAATATCTTTTTATTTTTTAAAATTTTAGTAAGAAATAAAATTTTCATGTTTGTAAGTTTAATGAAAAAAATTAATTAAATAGATTGAGTGACTTTGTAAATAAAACATTCATAGTTGAGTGACTTTGTAAATAAAACATTCATAGTTGAGTGACTTTGTAAGTGAAACACTCATAGTTGAGTGACTTTTGAAATAAAAACCAAAGTTGAGTGACTTTATGAGAAAAAAACTCATAATTGAGTGACTTTTGAGTTAAAAACAAAAATTGAGTGACTTTCTGAGAAAATAGTGTATAATTAAGTGACCATATGAGGTATTAACCCCTGAAAATGGGAAAGAAGAAGAAAGAATTAAAAAGTCAACTAAATAGGTTTTCACGCGCGGTCAACGAGTGTATTACACTCATTAGGCCATGTAAGTAGAAAGTGTCAAAATGATACAATGATTCTCTACATGAGGTGTCTAATATGAATATTGTCCGGTTAAAGTGTCTAAGTGAAATTTTATGCCAACTTTAAGGGGCCAACTTATGTTGATGTTTTGACTCACAATAATAAAAATCTTAAAAGACCAACAAAATCATATCAGATTTTAGTATAATTTTCATGTCGTCCTTTAATGCAACATGCATTTTATTTTGTAATTTTAAGTTCTTGATAAGATTTAAATTATCATTAACTATACTACTTTTTTTTTCCATATGTATTCAAATGATCTAGATAATAGAACAAAGAGTAAGAGAAATTCGGCGTCGAGTTTCAAAAATTTTGACAAAAAGAAAAGAAAATTTTGAAGAGAAGATCTAAAACAAATCTTAGTCATTTGTATGATTATAAATTATTTCATTAAGAGCATTACAAATTAAAGTTATTTTTAATAATAAAAAAGTAATACTATTCTTTTGTAATAATCTAAAAAAAGAAAGTGAATCACATCAATTAAAATGAAAAAAAGTAATTTTTTATGTTTAAAATAAAAAAGAAAAAAAAGAAGTCAACAAAATACGGATTAAGAAATTTTACATGTTAAGATATACCTATATGATATAGTAAAACAAATAACATGTTATGTCCATAACCTAATGGTAATTGTAATTTTTAATCCCAACAACATTGCTGGTTCGAATCCATGTGGTCACTAGGTGTCATGGCACCCCATAGCTAGACGTTATGTCAATCATACTCACCACATGTTGCCACATATTCGTCACCTCATATAAAAACTTCTTAAAACGAATCGTTAATTCAATCATACTCATCAAATATTACCACATCATTCATCACCTTATACAAAAGTTATTTCAATCATACTCATCAAATATTACCACATCATTCATCACCTCATACATAAACTTC